AATAACAGGAAAATGCACAGAAGTCATCCAGGATCCAGGAAAACCCAACATACAGCCATCTGTCTATGAATAAGGTGATGTGGAACTCAGTTTCTGCAACTGTGACAACTCCAACCTGAACTTTCTTTCAGTGAAATCATTTGTTAATTGTGATCTGTCAGAACACCTTTAGGAAAACATGTTAGAACCACGTTGAATCATCAAAAAGCCCAGTTGACAACTGTGGGTGCTCTCCAGCTAAACTCCTGCTTTGAGATAAATGTGGGAACCCAGTAGTCAGAAACGTTCGGTCCTTATGCAACGCAAAAACACTCTGCCTGTCAGCTGTCAGATAGTCAGCAATGGAAAATATGGCACACTTTTTAAAGGTGAAACACGTAGCTCCAAACTTACACAACTAGCCTATTAAGTGACTGAGCTACAGCTGCACACTGATGTAAAGTCAAATGAGGACAGGCTAAGGATCCAAGACGCAGAGGGCTGTAGTTTGGTCTCTGCCTTAATCACTACATTTAACTGATGAAATAGGAAAACAACGAAATGCTACTTAAATTAATACATGTCAGCAAAATGGCAAATTGGGGATTGCCCCTAGCTCACTGCCAGTGATTCCTGTCTGAAGGTCACAGTTCACCTATGTTATCACCATCCAAGCTCTTCCCAATTAAAAAAACCCACAAAAACAGAAACTGAGCGCTGGTGTGCCCAGCGGTGACCTGCAATAATACCCTTGACCTACATTTGCCTGATCCATTGTTTGACGTTACACAATGAGGGAGCTGGGGGGAGGGGGGGTTACGTGCTTACGCAATGTTTGGTCCACTGGCCCAGCCCACATAACCCTGTTATCCAACACATGGCGATGTGACTCTCAGATGCCAGCAGAAAGGTGGCTAGCTACTGTGTCACCGCCACGATTATGACACTAATAAATGTGGAACAGCTCAACCTTGTTATTTTACTGTACTTTTCACATAAACACACCTGACATGCTGTTATGGAATAATAGGAAAGTTACAGAAGTAGGCTACAGCAGCCCTGTCACACACACACCCTTTCTTTTTGCTTCTTAGTAATAATAAGAATAAGAAGCAGCAGCTCGGTGTCTTACCTGCGAGTATTGCTTGGTTATACTTCTCCAGGGCAGCTTCCATCTTTTTCTCGGCGTACAGTCCGTTGCCCTCCCGCCTCAGCTGGCCGGCCTGGTACTGGGTGGGGAACCACTTGGCCAGCAGGTTGCTGAGGACCACATTCACCCGGAGACCTAGGCTGTCGCTCACTGCTGAGACATTCTTACACTCCTTACACACCACCGGTCGCTCCTTCTCTTTCCTCTCCCTCTCCAGACACTTTTTACAAAAGGAGTGACCGCACGTCAGAGTCACCGGCTCGACTAGAAAGCTCAGGCATATCCGGCAGGAGAAGTCTTCATACCCGCAACCTGTGGCACCCGCTCTCGGGCATACAGTCGCACCTGCCTCCTTTGCCCTACACGGGTTGCCACGGTGCCTCTCACCCTCGTCTTGCCTCCGTATAGTACCCGACAGGTACTCTATGAGGTTGGCCAGGTGAGTGGGTCTCAGCCTCTCTATCTCCGAGGCTTGCCGGTACACATCAAACGCTTCCGTGAATTTCCCCCCGAACGCGAGCGAGTCAGCCCGCTTCACCATCAGCTCCCGCCGGCTCTGCGGATCTCCGAGACACGCCAGCTGGCACTCGTAGATGTCCGCGGCCAGGTCGAAGTTTTTCGACTTGAAAGCCTCTGCTGCGAGATGCAGCATGCTCTCACTCTCCGTCCCCATACAGAGCAGGCTGTCCGAAGCGTATCAGCTCATCTACGTGGTGCATGTCTGCACTCCAGCTGCTGCCATTCACGTCTGTCCCCTGCGCTGCAAACGACCGACAACTCTGCACGTTCATGCCCTAGTCCAGGAAGGACCGATATTATTCTCAATGGACCATGGCGAGGAAGTGAAAAAAAAAACTGTTATGTAAAAGTTGTGTCACGTGACGCCGGCCAGCTGTTCTCATTGGACGAGTTTGGAAAACTGTTACAAAACAATCTGCCATGTAACAGTTTCAGTGTTGGGGCCATGGGGCGGGATGTCTGACCTGCATGCTGGTTTCTTGTAAACAGTGACCAGGGTTCCCAAAGAATGACACCATTTAGTGGGACGACATGTAATCGATCTCAAATGACCAAGAGTATGAAAATTTGTTGTAGTGTCACAGATTTGACATGGTTCAGCATGTATTTTAGTGTGTCTCATACTATCTCATACTAGTGACAATCTGAAAAGAGAGCATGTCAGGCTGTTTTTAAAATGTGCTTTAATTTGTTCAAGTTTTCAGTAACATTTTCTTATAGAAAAGATTTCTTCATTTAGGCATTCCAAAGTAAATAACCCATGTGTGCGGAATTTTATAGAACATTACTTCCTGTTCCAGTTGAGCTTACACAAGAAACTGTTAAATACATGCCCTGCTAACAGCTGTTGTCAGCATCTTGTTATGTGTCTAACAAAACTGAGTTACATAAAGATTCTTTTATTTAACTTCTGGGCAAAAAAAAAGAAAAGAAAAAAGAAATGCACATATTCCTTTTTTTTCCCATTACAAAAATAAAGGAAAAACAAAATCCAAAATATTAAAAAAGAGAACAAAAGAAAACACAATATTTTAGCCATCACCTCCTTACTGCGTGATTTTAGTGGCTGCAATTACCCATCCCACACACCGCCACCATAAAACAGATAAGATATGGAGGTTTCCCACGTGTTACCAGCTCCAAGGTAACCATTGGTCATGGAATTGTAACTAAAAGGTACTGACCTCCATATTTTGCAAGAAATGCAGATGGTGAATGTATTTTTTGTGGTCTTTTGCTTTGTAAATTTGATGTAAATGATCAAAACTGGTCTTAACAACTGTGGTCGGTTGTATCTCAAATGTAAAAGCCATTTTAAAAAGACTACCAACACTGAGGAGCAATAAGAAACAAGGGGGGCAGGGACATCCGTTAACCAGTCCAGATGAGGGACAATTTCCAGATACAATCATTTTGGTCTTGTTGACATTAAGGGGGAAAAATTTAGTGTTAACCAGTGTTTGCTATCTTATAGACAATTAAACAGAAGCGTCAGTGGGATAGAGGCATCAAATTTAATAGGGAAATATATTTGGATGTCATCAGCAAAACAATGAAAGGGAATATTGTGTTTCCTGAAAATTGATTCTAGAAGCAGCATAACATCATAACCACCTGCCTGTTATTGTGGAGGTCCCCCTTTTCTGCCAAAACAGCCCTGATCCATTGAAACATGGACTCCACTTGGTCCCTGAAACTGTGCCGTGATATCTGGCATCAAAATGTTAACCACAGATCTTTTTAGTCCTGTAAGCTGCGAGGCGGGGACTCAATGAATCAGACTTGTTTGTCCAGTACATCCCACAGATGCTCAATTAGACTACAATCCTGGGAATTTGGAGACTGCGTCAAAACCCCAAACACATTGTTGTGCTCCTCAAAGCATTCCTGAATCATTTCTGTTTTGTGGCAGGACACATTATCTTGCTGAAAGAGACCACAGCCATCAGAAAATCCTGCTTGAATGGTCTTCAGAAATGACATGTACAGCCTTATGTAAGTTGTACGTGTCAAATTTACAGCCACATTGATGGAAGGGCCTGAGGTTTCCCAGCAGAACATTGCCAATTGTCCAGTTCTGATGCTCAAGTCCCCATTATTGGTGGATAGGGGTCAGTACGGGATCCTTGAATGGTCTGTGGCTATGCAACCCCATACCCACTGTGTATTCTGACATCTTTCTGTCAGAACCAGCATCAACTTTTTCAGCAATTTGAGCTACAGTAGAACGTCTGTTGGATTAAACCACATGGTCATCAGTGAGCTTTGGCATCCCATGACCCTGTCGATGGTTCACCTCTTTCGATAGATACTGACTGCTGCAGAATGAGAGCTGCAGTTTTGGAGATGGTCTGACCCCGCTGGACACTGTTACCACAGATTTGCATTGAAGGCCCTGTCACTAAGTTGTAATTCCATCTCCTCTTCTAATTTTTCTTATCTTAAACTTGATAATGCTCCATACAGATTGGAAATTGGATCCCTACTGTGACCAGTAGCTTTGAAGATTAGCCAGAGATTGTTGCATAAAAGTGTTTGCACAAGGACAAAAACAAGGCTCAGTAGCACCTTAAAGTGTTTTTGTACTGATGCACATTATTAAAATGACATGTTAGCAGATACTATTCTACTACTGTATAGGTCTGAAGAGCATGGCAGGTTCTTTGTGACTGCAGGTGTGTAGTATTATATCAGCTCACTCTTAAGACAGACTACATAACTTCTGATGGAGGAATAAAAGACACCTTTGGTTATTTCAGTCTACTAAGGGGCATTTGTCATCATACTCCAATTATGACTTCTGGCCAGTGTGGGTGGTATTCAGAGTTAACCATAATTAGAAGTAGGTTAAGGCTTGAATTTAAAGACTGTAGTTAAGGGATTGCCTTCTGCATGTTTTTGGATACAAGCCTACGTGGTATTATTAGCCTCACCTGAAGCCTATCAGCCGTATTTCCTGTAGGGTTGAAATAAAACTTGTGTGCTAAAAGGCATTTAGAGTGTGTGTGAGCAGGGATTAGCGGCGAGTGAGCCAGTCAGTGTCGATCTCAGTAGGTCGGCCAGTCTGGCCTGTGAACTCAATCCCGCACACAGACAGAAACGCAGGCTGACATGGGCCTGCACACCGCAGCAGACACAGACACGCTGACACACATGCAGAAACAGACGTTCTGACATATATGCAAACCAGGACACGGGCAGAATATTATGCAAGCACGTGGACATATGCTTACTTTGCCCGGACACACACACACACACAGTAGTGGGAGATTCTCTTGCTCTTTCTTACCTTGAACTGTCATTGGGTGCCTCTAAATAGGCCAATAGTCAACCCCAGTGCAGACCGTCTGGACGTTGGATTGCCTGCTCATTTAGGACACACAATTATCCTCAAAGTCACCTCTTCAGACTTTTAAACAACGTCTTGCTCGGATAGAGAGATAGCTGGATATTTGCAGGATGGCTGCCAAGTCTGCACTTTGAGAGTTTCTAAAAGAGTCACTGTTCATTTGTTGACAGTGAAAATATATTATGAGGTATTGGATCATTTGGGAAAGAATGCATAAACACAGACTAATGATAGGCATGAGAGGACCGCTTGTAGCAAACGTCTTTAATCTGATTTGATCTTGGAAATGTGAAGTTGAGGTACTGGATGTACTGAGACTTGTGACTATGAAAATAACATTTTTGATTTTTTTTCTTCTCAAAATGTTTTCCTAAGAAGAGAAATGACTTTTCAGTGGGTCTGTTTGTTGGTTAAAGATAGAATTGTGTTTGTAAGGATGAATTTGTGGTCTTTTTTTTTAAATTAGAAATCAGATGGGATTGTTAAGAACAGCCTTGTCATAAAGAATATTCCCATCAAAATACTAAAAACATAACATCTGTATAGTATTTATTATTAACTGTAATTATTAAAGATGCTCTGTGTAGATCTTTTAATGGGACCTGTTATGCTCATTGTCAACTCCACATTTCTATTCAGTTCATCCACTCTTTGAAACATGCCACTCTAGCTCCTCCCACTTTAAGCCAGCTTTCTTCTGATTGGCAGCCCCTCACAACCAGAAGTGTTGATGGGGCTACTGTGCTCAAAGCCAGAGCTGTCTGACTGAGGATATCTGCCCTCAGTGATGTCATACAGAGCCAAAAGATTTTTAAAAAGTTAATTAGTTGTGCACATGCTGACTTCATTATCTCAAACTTCAATATAATTCAATATTAGCATCCACCATCTTATTAGTATATATGTATACGGGGTGAAAGGGAAATTTAATCTCAATTTTTAACATTCATCACAGTGTGAGTTCATTTCCACAGGGTGTAACCGTCTACATGGTGTTAGGGCTCAGAGTGAGTGTAACAGTCACTCACCAGTTCCACTACGCAGCATATTTGCCTTCATTAAACTTTGTCTGTTTTAAGTTTTCACTCACCGGAGGAGATCGAGCAGGCGAGCAACTACTGGGTTTCCCTGTAGTTGCCTTTGCAACTACAGGGAAACCCAACAGGACTTCCAACAAAAGGCCTAAAAATAGCATCAGCACTGAAAATGATACAGAGGCATTCAAGGAGATGAGCTTAAACGTACAAGTTTTCATTTAGCTCGCCAATGGGATTAGTTTATCCCAACTGAAAAATAGTACATTACAAAGCATTTTTTCTTTATGTTGCTTAGACTTAACATCTGTTTTAATGTTGCCCTGAGGAGACAGCATGAAGTTCAGTCTGTAGGTCTGTTAAGCAGAGCATCACGCTAAACTTTGTGTTAGCATCGTGATCCCGATCAATCCAGCAACTCATTCGTTTTATAGTCTAATATGAAGTTAAATGATCAAACTTACAAAGCTAAAGCAACTCCACATGTTACATCACGCATAATATTTTAGCCTAAATGCTTTGCTGCAAGCAGCAAACTTTAAAGACACGCCCACTCAGAACAACACCAAATTAACAGAAAAGCACAGACTAAAGCTGTACTTTCCTTCCTTCTGTGTTTCTTGATCGTGTTTAGTAATATTTTGTTTCCTTTTATAATACTTTCAAATTGGGACTACCTTATTATTCCCTCACCATACATTTGTTCACTTACATTCAAGTTGTCATTGAAAGAATAGAAATAAGTAGAGTGAAATGATACCGAGTTCCACTTAATCTACAAAATAGCTGCAGTTAATCAAAAACATCAGTTTAATTCACGTAAAAAGATGTCACAAGAACACATAAGATTTCTTTGTAATACATTTCAATGACTTTCAGCATTTGAAGTTTACAGTTTCTCATCTAACTCTTATTTCTGTGACACAGTTTGAATCTGAACAGATCAAACATTCCTTACAAATTTAGTGACGGACAGATGTTATTACAGAAATGTGGTTCAACAGTGAGAAAAAAAACCCTCAATGTTATTTTGGAAAACAAACACATAACAAGACAAACTTTTAGTTAAAAGAAAGTTACTTTTTACACTTATGGTTGCGCTTTTAGCCAAAAGACTTCTAAATCATTTCTTTGACCTCTTGTCACATCGAGTCCCAGAGGTGAGGGAACAAAACGTTCTGCTTCAAAGAGGAGCGTGTATCACATGACCAGCGTGCACGAGCGCCCACTTGACTTTTTTTGTATTTTGGCACAGGTGTGGGATCGCAGGACTTTCAAATGTGACACAAACATCAAAGACTAATGCACAACGAGATCAAAAAACTTTATAGATTTTTAAATACACGGTAGGAGGTGAAGTGCTTGTCTCGAGTATGTTGGATGCCAACACCATCAGAGCATAAGATAATGACGTGCAGAGCGTTATCTTGCATAACATCGTATGGAAAAATGTAGAAAAGCTCCACTGAGTTTTAAAAACTGAGCAGAGATGAGTTAGCATAAACATCAGCTCCGGATGGTGTATTAGTTTTGGATCTTAAGAATGCTCCTCTTCTCCAGATCATTCATCTCTTTAAGAATCAAAGCAATGTTGTAACGAAGCTCCTGGAATTTAGACACAGGTACCTGGAAAAGACCACAGAACATGTAGCACACCCACAAAGTGTTCAGCATTAAAAATAACCACATAGCCACATTCCACAGCTGTTTACTGTGTGTGTGAATGTCTAAAAATGCAAGAAATAGTCATTAAGGTCATTAAAAACCTGAATTTCTACCTAAAGGATGTAGATGGACTCCTTGCAAAATGCTGTGCTCTAATACTTAAGCCCAGAGTTTCATTTGCTGCCTCCCTAATTTCTGTCCCTGTCATCCCTGTGTTTAAGTCTCAAGCTGCGTGTGAGTCACCATCTGTTTGCAGTGGTCAGACTGCAAACAGACACAAGTGCTAATTAAGAAGAGTGTGCTGAAGGAGGAAGAAGTCATCTCGTCTGTTTGCTATTCATCCTCCCTTCACTTCCAGAGAAGCATGCGTCAGGTGGAGATGAGCTGCACCCATAAAGAAAAACTGCACATCGAATGTTGCTGCTGCTTATCTTCTAATTCTGCTGTAATCTGATTACGTAATCGCTGCACATCCGTAGTAGGTGTCCTCGTCCCTGCTTCTGCTCCGACCACACTGGTAGTCAGCTTTGAAAGCAGTTGTGGATTCTAGTTTGTCATTTTGAAGCTGATGCGGAGTATGGCGCCTCCTGCTGAATAAGACGTACTATAGCATTACACCGTGGCAGTTAGGCTGCCGCACATCCTGGTGGAGTCCATCTATTTATTCTTCATTTTTTCCTGTTTTAAAAGTGACACTTTTGCATTTATGTGAATGGATATCAGGCTTTTTTACTGTAGTTTTTTTTTTCTGTAAGCTGATAAAAGAAAAAAAATAAGACTCAGAAATGCAACTGTTTTTTTAGCATCTAACAAAACAATATTTGTAATAAGCACAAGCAAGCTGACTAGCACAGAAATAACACTGCAAACGTATCAGGGGCACTTGGTCAAGGACGGCTTGTAGGTTAGACTGCCATTAATAAACGTTACTTCCTCTGTAATCCTGTTATGCAATAACTGAAACAGACCTACATTAGCCCACTGGCTTACAACCAACATGTTTAACACTCTGCTGTGATAATCCAGGAATAACTACTACAGTGCACAACCATCATCAGTCATGTGGAGAAAAAAATCCATATGATGTTAACAGGTTTCTCAAAAGAAAATCATTCAATGGTTAGCTCATGGGAATGAACTCATTTCCAATGCATACTTTAAGTGTAGCTTTGCATGATTTACATTTAAAAGTAATCTTTATTTATCTGTGTACTAGGACTTTGTGCAACCCAGTTCCCCTCCACTGTCTGGCACAGGGTCTCCCCCATTTCAGGCCACCCTCTCGTTTAACTGATATTCTGGCTTCACCTTCATCCACCTTTAGCAGTAGGCGTGTGGGGCTGTTGTGCTCACAGCCAGAACTGTGTCTGAAATGACCATATTAAGGATCTCCTCGCTCACTGACATTAAGAGCCAACTGCAGTCCCTTGAAAAACCAAGTACATCCCATGATTCACCCTCGGGAACAACCACTTAAAGTTTTTTTTTTTGGGGGGGGGTGGGGGGGTGAATTTATCTATTTCAGCCCACTCTTGACAACACTGCTTCAGTTCATTGAGGTCTGTGAGCATTTGTTAATTCACAGCACTCTTAAGATCCCACGGAAGCATTTCAGTCATGCTCAGGTCTGGATTTTGGCTGGACCATTGCAACACCTTGACTCGTTTCTTTGTAGTTGTTCTGTTGGAGATTTGCTAATGCATAAGACATTTTCATGAATTTAAAAGGTATTGTTAAATCCATCCATTTTCATAAATACTTAAAGACAGCCGCTCATACTCATAATTATCCCTACAACGAAATTAGTACTACCACTTAACCTAACAAGCATGTCAGTGCTAAGAGAGAATCCATGCAGGCACTTTGTCTTGCCAACATCTGGATGAGTATAGAGGCGAGGAAACGGTCAACGTCTTTTGAACAACTATTACTTTCAACGAGACTCTTAAAAGCCAAAAGACAAAGAGAAAAAACCCCTCTGAACTGTGGTTTTATGCACAGAAATTTGGCATGTAGATCTATACTGTGGTACTGGTATCGTCATTAAAAGTAAATAAAATGAGAATAAGAAGGGGACTGTGGGTCAGAATGTATTGTGTGTACAATCAGGAACAGGTTACTTGTTTAAATACCTCAAAGCGTTGAAACCTCCCATCTGAAAGTTTCATCTGCATGAGAACAGAAGGCTGCAGCGCTCGGGCTAAAGAGCTGTTTCGACACAAAAAAGCAAAAACATCATCACAAAGTCTAAAGAGTAAGACTTTAAAATGAGTGCAGTAGAATTTTTTGTAATCTTTCATTAAACCCTTCTTCCTGACTTATTTCTATATTGCAAATAAGAGACGGTGGTAAGAGATGGTATTGTTCCAGGAAAGCTTTAAAACACTGTGTTAGTAGCCAGTTAACCATTAACAAAGATTTCTTGCACATATTGCCAATGTAAACAGTTTTTGCAGTTCGTTTAGTATGTTACCTTGTAGAAATGGCAACATCCACTCTCCATTTCAATTCTTCAAGTGTGGGGAGATGAGGATCCTTCTGAGAGGCGGCCGCTTCTAGAGCTGCACGGCTGAAAACACAAACAGCACAGAAAATAGAACCTGATTGTAGCACTGCTCTGAGATACCAATCCTGGACATGCCTGAGGTTGTAAAATCAACATACCGATTTCCAAAAACCACACTGGAAAAATCTGTGATGAAGTCTTCGGGTATTCTAATAAAAGAAGAAAAAACACAACAGAAATAACCTCTTCAGAATCTGGGGGGTGGGGGTGCGGAGATAATAAATGAAATCAAAGAGAGGTGTGGAAAAAATGATTCCCTCACCTTAGTTCCTTCAGATCTTCCTTAAAGATCTAATCAATGCCCCATCAGGCACCACAGAAGAGGAATGAAGATGTTAGTTAAGAAGTCTGTTTCAGTGAATATAATTTCCAGTGCTTTAGCATCAGCTCACCTCCTGTTTAAGTAACGCTGTGGGGATGCGGATGGCCTCAGACAGCAGTCTGTGGATCCCAGCTACGATGTGACAGAGCCTCTCCTGCGGGATGACACTGCTCTCTGCTATGGACTTCATCCCCTCTGTGCAGTCCTTCCCCTCCAGGGCACTGACCACAGCTGGACAGGGAATCATTCACAGTCACATTAAATGCACTTATCCGGCATCTTCAACTGCTAACACTTGGTCCGAATATCAGCAGAAGATCTTATCACGACATAACATCCTGGGAGGCTGAGGAGGTCACAGCTCTACTGTGGATACTGTTATAGGTCCAGTTTCACAATAAACTTCACCAAAAGGCGTTCAGTTTTATTGTTTCATGCCCAGGGTACGTATTCGAATAGACACAATATAATACAATTATTTAGTTCTTGCTATTTTTTTCTGTTTAAGACTTTATTTACCTTTCAGTATTTTTCGGAACAACTCTTGGTCCACATCCTTCAAGTTTTTTGACAATGACTCGACTTCCGGTGGTATTCTGCCTCCCATGAAGCTCAAAGAGTCCTTTGAATGGCTGGAAGACATGCCTCAGTGTTCACCAACATACAGAATTAACAGATAAAAAGATGAGAAATTAGTGTTAGAGAGGGGTTTGTCTAGCTAGTTTTGTATTTGTGCGGCAGCTTCCGCCTTCATGTCACATGACTCTCATTCCGCGGAGTCTCGCGGTGAGAGCTTAGCTCGTCGTTTAGAGGAAAACGGATTTGCAAATGGAGGTGATAGAAGTGGTCTCTTTTTGAACAACCAAAAGGTAGGATTTTTAATATCGATAGCTTCTTAGTTACAGCTTAGACCTGTTCACATAGCGTTCACACATGGCATTTGTTGGGAAATGGGAGTTTCAGATCGTTTTGTGTATTAGCAAACGCTACATAGATATTTCGGAGGATTAGCAGCAAGCTAAGGATGTTAGCTTGTGTTGTGATGTCAGAGGCTTATGCTCGCGTTTTCTAAACACGATACTGTTTATGTAAGTTCTACTCAAGCTAATGGAGCTGGCTTTATCAAAGATTTTATATATGTGTGCGAGCGCGCGCGCGCTTTTAACGCGTGGGGTTATGTTTACCGTAACTTGAAGTATTCAGGCTGTTTACCAGTTACTTTAAGTCTAAGCTGTGCCAAATAACAGAGCCAGCAGCTGATTATGAGCTTTATTATCAGCACAGTTGCTAAGTAAAAAGCATTCATAGTAGGTAGCCTAACTATTTTTTTCATTAAAGTAACTCGGTAGATGTTTCTTCTTACTGATGCTTGGACGAAAAACAGGTTTTCACCATTAGTGACTTTTTTTTTAGTATCCGAGTTAGATTTATTGACCAAGTACATGTACACATATACAAGGGACAGACGTCCGTTTTTTTTCTTTGATCCCAGTATAAACAGAATAGACATGCACAGTATAAACAATAAAAAACGTGTGCAGTGGTGCAAAGATGTTAGAATAAATTATAGAATAATTTATTAATTCGAGAGATGAACCAGTATCACATCACAATTTGGCAAAGAAACAATTTTAAATTGTATCTTCAGGCACTTTGTTACTAGCAGCCTATTACAAAAACATGAGCAAAACGCTAGTCAAAAACCTGGCATATCTGGCAGTGTTTTAAGTAGAGATGGCGCGATACCACTTTTTTTTTTTTTTATGTCCGATACCGATATCATAAATTTGGATATCTGCCGATACCGATATGAATCCGATATAGTGTGCTTTTTAATCAATAAAACAGTTTTTTAAATATCTTGCTGCATAGTTCATACTCAAGTTTCAAAAAACAAAAAACCCCCTCTAAAGCTATTCTGTTACACCTGTATGCAAAAAATTCACTGCACCCAAAATATTTCATAGTTCAGCAGTACTGATCAATTTAATAAACTTAAATCCTCCATCCTTCCTATTCTGGTATTTAGCAGAAATATTAAGCAACCTAACTAACAAGGTTGCCAACTCCCAGTAAAAAAAAGAAAAGAAAAAAAAGAGACTTAATAGTTATTATATAAATAGTGGACTTCTATACATTTTACATCGGATTAAAACTTTGGGTGTAAGATTCAGATAATTATTTATTAAAAGCTAGACATTTTAAATGAGAATAAGAAAGAAAGGTATTTCTTTGTGCCCCCCTTTTCCCTGATTCGTCGAAGACGTCATTAATAAAAATATGTTGACGCAGAATTTTATCGTTGACGCGTCATATGCGAAAACGATGGCTGTATCCCAATTCATGATCTGCAGCCTTAAAGGCCGCATTTTAAGGCTGATTACGTCACAGCGATGCGACAAAGGCTGTCCTAATTTGAAGGCTGCTCGAAATGCGGCCCTCAAATGCATCCTTCATTTCCCTGAATTTTAAGGACGCGGTGGTGTCGCTACCCGATCCATACCGGAAACCCGATCGGTACCCCACATGCGCAAATCTTACGTCACTTCCTCTCTTTGCCAACATTGCGACATTCAGTATATTTGAATGATACGGTTAGCGCCCAGTTAGCTTCTAGCATTTCTCAACAACTCTGCCTCCTTTTCGACTTCCGGGACATTTAAACTATCGATAATCCATATACAAACAAATTTACGCTTTTCTCCTCAACAGAGAGCGTTCCCCGAACAACAGCGCCGTAAAATAAGAAGAATGGCGCCTAATTACAGAGTTAATAATACAGACTTTGTAATATGTCACGTGAAGATTCATCAGCCAGATGAAGTGTTTACTGGCAATTGACAGTGATAGCGGACATCATCATCACTATTCCAATCAATCCTCTCCACACAGACAAGCATAAACACACTCGACTATCTCTAAATCAAATTTAACACACGTTTGTAATGA